AAGCTGTTAGTCACATTTGACTTTAGTCCTACTTGTACAAGACTGAACACAGACTTAGTCAGCTGATTGCAAATTTCAAGTCTGACCTCATTGTTCTAGTTAAATAAAATATCTTGAAAAAAAACCCCGTCCTCTTAAAGATATATTTTTCAGTTTGCACAAAAGTAAGGTAGAAAACCAGCAAAACTAAAGACAATGTTATTGAAAAAAAGCTTTAAATTATAACCGAGTCATTTGACGTCATCCTAGTTTAAGGCCAAATAAAAAAAAATGTTTAGTATCCCCGTCCGCTTCCTTTTTGGAGGCCCCCTCCTTTAAATAAAAACCAAAACAAAACAAAACAAAACCCAAAATGAATAATTTTAAGCAGTGACATCATTTTGGCCTCTTTGTCTGTTGCATCTAGCCCATATAAAGCTGATGTGTCATTTCCTGAGTCCAAGTGGCGGCCAATTAAAAAAAAAACTGGCGGCCATCTTGAAAAATAGCTGGGTCGGGCTGCCATTTTGCAAGGAAAAAAGGGCCTCCTTCCTTTTTTTCAAAAAGGCAGGCCGCTAAACATGTTTTTTTTTTATATTTTGGCCTAAATTTTATATTTTTCTCGCGGCGAAAACAAAAAACAACTCAATATCTCAAGATGAAACAGTGTCATCAAGGAGGCTTAGAAAAAGCAACGGAACCTCGCCAACAGCATCAATACATTCATCCGGTGGTTGAATCTTGCTAGGCCAGCTATATCAATTTCTACCTTGATGAAAAACGGTCTGAATCGTGTCCCTCATGCGTTCTGACATTTCCCTTCGCCTCGGCCGCGGAGTGTACCGCACAAGCCGGCTTCAAGGCCCAAGGAATTAGTTTTATTTTCCTGCTCCAGTGACTGCCAACAAGACGAGGGAAGGAAAAAGGAATTACTCTTGGAAGGTAAAATCGATCGGGGCAAAGCTAAGTGTCGTTGGAAATAAACGTCGAACGCTTGAGTCTAGCATACGGGATTCGCTGTGTGCTTAGACTCCATCTGATAAAAGCGCAGCGCGACCTTGACCGCACGTTAGGCTTATATACACAGCAGGTAGCGATGGGATGTTTTAATAAGAACATCGCAGGAAAAATTTCATATGTCAAAATTGAAGTATCCCGCTTCTCGGCTGATATGAAAATTATAATTGAACAACCATATTACTTCATATTTGTTGAAGTAGGGAAATATAAATAGGTCAATTTCATTTTCGCGTGATGACGACACATATTGCAGACTATAACTGGGAAACGTGGATGCTATTATAATTGCACCGTACACTGCCCCCCCCCCCAACAAAAATAATACCTATTAAATTATGGTACCTTTGGGAGACATTTTGTCGTCATTAATTATACCTCACGGAGACACCGGACATTAGGGAGACATGTCTGCTATATTTAGATGCAACATTTTACCGTCGCAAATAGACGAGATCGATTGGTCGTGGTCCAAAACATAATTATACCAACATTCGTGGGGGTGGGATAAGGGGAAAATTGGGGTTAGGTTGTCATTAAAGATGGAAAATTGTGTGCAGAAATCTATGGGAAAGTCTCCCAAATGACCTATGGTTCCCGTTATTATAATAACACTGGGGTATATCTATATAGAACCCCCGGTGTTAACTTTACACTCTCTCAATGAATGTATATGTCACACAGTGTAAATCAAACACCACAATTTGTAATGTATTGATCTAGATAGTAGTTATCATGTGATATATCACGCGTGAAGATGAACTTATCATGTGATATATCCTGTGATGAAGTTACCATGTAAATACATGCATACCCAAGCTTCTGACTGAAATATCAGAGATGACAATTTTCGAGACGAAGCGAGAACTAAAATGCATTCCTGTCTTGTTTTTTTTGGTGTGAATTTCATTCCGTATGCCATCCGACACTGCAGTTTGCTGATCCATCTTGTTGTAATTTTGTTGGCTTTCTTGTCCGCTCGTACTTGTACACAGCAAGGCTGATTTAATTATATCTCACTCCCGCACGCAGCTAGCATTGCCTCCCTCTCTATCTCTTTGGAGTGCCGTGTCGACATCTTCAGGCCGTGCTCTCAAACACAACTTCCCAGCGCACCTTCTCAAAATATTGTGACAAGTCTCTGGCTGCCGAAGATGGGCATTAATTTCATCCCGAGGCTAGCTAGGCGTTGTTACTCGAGACTTTCCAAGTTTATTTTGTCCCTTCTCTTCATCCACTTGCCAGTGGATACTACGAATGCTGTGAGACAATTGAAAGCAATATTACCGCCTGTAGTGTGAAAACACCCGTTCTTTTTCCAAGGTGTGTTCTGCCCGAAGCTCACATTCTAAGCGATTGTGTAGACAAGACGAAACACGTAATTAGCAGCTGAATAAGACAACTTGGCTATCTCACCGCAGTGTATAAAGCGACGATTATAATGTGCGGCATCAATACACTTATCATATGAATGAGTTTGTGCTAATCATTTTATGTTCTGTTGAGCTTCAAGCACAACATACAGAGTGTGCCAAAAAATGCAACATTCAGAAAACATATAATTAAAACTGTTTAATGTTTTTTCTTCAATTAAATTATATATTATATTAAAGCCTGACTATTTCTCAATCCACTCCTTTTTACCGCATTCCATTTGGGTCCCTAGATCGAGAAATACAATAAATTTAGTGAAAGGGTGTAAATTTTACTTGGGCCACTCTCACCTGGACATGCTGAATCTGGGTTATAAGGCATTGAATAGGCATTGAAGTTGGTGACATCAAAGGTGAGAGTGGCCCAAGTAAAATGTACACCCTCCTCCTAAACTGATTGTATTTTTGGATCTAGGAACGCAAATCGAATGTGGTCAAAAAGAGTTGATTGAGAAATAACTGGTAACGACTGGTAACGAGTCACAAGCATATATATATATACATTACATGGCATTTTAGCTGGTATCCCGTTTTTGGTAAGCAAATATTTTCCGAGTTTAGCAAATATTTGTGCTTAAATCAGCTAAAACGGAATCCCCCGGTTGCATGCCTGCAGGACCCTACACGTATATAAAAGGAAATCGATTTACACGTCTTTTTCTTCGTTGTTCGTGTTTCGTCAAACACTCATTGAATACACCTTCATTTCCATTCCCCACAGAAAAACAAGTGAGGAAATTCATCAAAATAGAACAGAGAAACAAATAGCAACAGAATACAAATGTTTATCCGTACAAACGAAACGCATAGTCGGTTTTGAGTAGTAGTGTTCATTTTACTTGGTGTTTAACACGAAAGGTGACGTAGTGCTACAAAAGTAAAAACACATACGAAGTGGGCCATTCAACATTATGCTAGAATTTTTTTTCAAACTCAGCTATTTTAACGAGAAACTCACAATTGCACATTGAGACGTGGAATGTGTGTACTAAAAATAATATATGAAAACTAAAATATACTTAGATAACCAAAAAAGATTCGTTAATATTATAACAAAATACACAAATTCAATTAAAATTTAATGTGGGCCTAACAATGGGTTTGGCTTACCGCCCGAAGAATTATAACAACAAAATATAAGACCGAACACAAATTCACAAAGAATCATTTTAAAACAGACGTTTACCGGGTGGACACTTTTACAGTCATCGGACAAACTATTCTGCGTTTTCTTTTTCTATACTAGAACAGTTCTTTTTCTAACCAAATGTTAGTCTCAATTCCAACCGTTTGTTTGTTATGTACCACATCTTGCATAGATTCTTCCACGGCCCGATTCTCATTTCTAGAACGGGTTAAAATTCAAGAAATATTATAAACAAAAAAAAATCCATTCTTCTTTGATAAAAAAGTCCATATCATTTAAGGGAAACGATTCCATAATTTTTTTTTGTAGCAAAATCTTATTTGCTTAAAATGTTAACAAGCGCTCTATCGTGTAAACTCCTCACCGCCATTTTTAGTCACTATTGAATTTTCTTATATAATGACACATTGCACAGATTTTTACCAAAATACTATTTTTTTTCTGATTGTACAAAGTTCTTAATGATATCTTTCATGAGTTCAAAGAGCTGCCAATTTCAGTTGCTTGAATTTGCTGCTGATCCATTTTTGGTGCATACAATGAGCTAATGGACGAAGATTTAGAGGTGCATTAAAATATTTACCTTAATCTTTGTTGTACAAAACATGCGTTAGTCTTCTCAAAGTACAGTGTTCTGTTTGATTAAAGATTTGGCGCAGAAACTTGGTGTCGCGTAGCAAAAGGGGACTAGTTAATTTTTGTTTGCTTGACCAATGATTTTCTTTTGATTCGTTAAATCACCAAACTTCTGATTTGTACCACCATGCAGTAATATCCAGTTCAACATCAAAACTCTACAGAGGTGCAGACGTAGGACACCATTCAACGAGTTTCTTAAACCTTACAAATCACACTAATCGTATAAGAATGCCCCCAAAAAACACCTACCTCTCATGAAAATGCCAAATATACCGAACACCAAATGCCATCCACAAAATTTAGTCTTCGTCCTGGCATTTAAAAAACAAAAATCGATTTCGTACAAAAATAATCTGTCGGTATGAATGTCTGTAGAAACGGGTCTGACAGCGAAAGCGTACACCAAAACCATCGGCAGCTGTCTGTGACACAGGGATCTGTCTCTTTCCTCTTTGGCTGGGGTTTAATTTTTACTTTGTACAATGGGACATTTACCGGCAAGTTGCTCTCCTCGTGCTATTTTCGAGTTTCAGCCGAAAAAAAATAGATTTTCATTTTAAATTGCTTTTTTTTTTTAGCAAAATACAAAAGATATTTAGAATGAGACATCGAACCAATAGTACGGCAGATAGGTGATGGGATTGTGCCTTTGATGATACAAGCATGGCATTTGGCACACAGTCAGAGTGAAAGATATCTGGCTCTAGGGCCATCGTATAGATTTATCCTTCGAAAAAAATATAGGTAGCGATGGCAGCCATTTTGAAATTTTGAAAATTGCTTGTTACTCTACCCATATTTTTTTCCAAAGGACAAATCTGTGATGGCCCTATATAACCAGATATCTTTCTTAAGCCATACTCTGACTGCGTGCCTAATGCCATGCTTGTATCATCAAAGGCACAATTCCCCCAAATATTTCCCCTATCTGCCCCACTACAACAAATCCGCTCTCGTTGATTTAGTCAGGTTTTGGCGCAAAAGAACCTTTAAAAAACGTATTTTCAAAGGGTTGAAAACCTCCAAAATAGAAAAACAGTAACCGGGTGAGGGTTTGCAGTAAGACCATGTGGAAGAATCTGTTTTGAACAGATGTGTGGTTCTGACAAGAACCGGTTGGTTGTGAAACGCGACGGTCCGATCAGTATTCTCTGATCGTCTTCAGGAGACAAAAAAAACACATCTTCTCATCAGTGATTCTTCCACATGGTGTTACGCTCACTAGCTTACACTACCACCATGCAAAGTAACATCTTATTTAGAAAAAAAAGATTGCGTTTTCTGTTTAAATAAAACATACAAAATTGAAAATTCGTTAGGAAGAAAGCATCGAATAAGTCGAAGAGCACGGGAATAGAGCAACTTTATAATTCAATGTCGCAACAGTACTAAACGTGCATTTTGTTTTAAGTACGAAAGACTACGGTAACTTGTTTTTTTTTTTTACAAATTGGATGATTTTGTTAGAAATACATTTTGACAATTATATTAAAGTCTGTGCTATACACGATATATATCAACTTGGTGTTATATTGAATGTGTTTAGCGTACGGTGAGTGGCTACATTCATACTCCGATGAAATTAAAATTCAACACGTATAAAAGTTAGATTGTTCAGATTCGTATTTGTTATATAACGCTCTTTTGGTGTGAAATGTATTTACAGAAGCTATCACTGACAGAATACTTCCAAACAGGTTTTTGACATAGTGAAACCAGTGCCGATTTTGTATAAATGGATATTGTATTAATGAGCATGAGCAAGAATTGTTCAGTTTTTATCATTATCAACGTTTAGAATGTTTTCCTTACTTTCTGTTTCCAGTATTTTTGGCGCTCAGCATTTTCGTCTACGTAATAAAATTGATATTTAGACTAAAAACGTTCTTGACAATGCTGCTCTGTCATTGTGTTTGTATCGAGCAGACGGACACTTCATCAACATCTCAGAGTTTGACACATGACAGTATATCTTGAATGATAACCTTGTTAATATGTGCATTCCCTTAGCAATGATCACAATGATATGGGCCCTCGGGAGAAGCGTCTTCGATATGACATGGTTCCTCCGTAGTTCCGTAAATTCACATAATGCGATCATATTCAAGTTGCGTAGTAGGATGTCTGCTTTGTTAATTCACAGAAAAAAAGAGATAATGCGTCGTAATATTGTCCAAAGAGATTTCAATTTTTGTTTCAAAGGAAGCACATTCAGAACGTCCAAAATAAACGTGTTTTGCTTGAATAGTTTATCAATAGGCCGAAATAATCCAAGTTTGTCAGAGTGAAGTCTCCATGTTGACGCTGGACTGCTGTGCCTGGTTCTCCGGCTCTGTCGCCCGTTGATGACTTTCGCCTGGTTGCGGTACCTCCATCTCCAATGCCACTTCGTATGCTGGAGGTGGTTCCTCAGGCACCGCAGCTTGCTGACGGGCTTCTGGCCGGTTCCGCTCGGTTGCCTGAGTGCTCTCAGGTTGTTGAATGACGGTCCGTACTCCATGCTGACCGTCCACAACAACCCAAGATGGTATGCACGGCTGATTGGCACGGCTTTCAGTTGTGGTATCCGTGTTGCTTAAACACAGCGGCAAAGAGGTCGGTCGTTTCTTCGTCTTGCGAGTCTGGATTTCAGTGGAAGAAGTTTTGCCGGCTTTACCGGCCATGATGGTCTCTTGTCCGGGGGACAAGTTGGTTCCGTTGGCGGTTCTGCTCACTTGCTCGGCTTTCACGCGGCCCGGGATGGGCGTTTTGGGCGTTATGATCGTCCCGTTTAGGTGTATACCACCAAATCCATTGATGGTGGGTGTGAGCTGGATGCTTATTGGGGAACCACGGCTGTTTGGTGTCCCTTTCAAGCGGTCTTTAGTTATCAAGAAGTGAGCCGAGGCGCCAATGGCACGACGCGAGGGGCTGCAACGACCGTTTAGAACACCACTGCCGTGAAGAGGTGCCGTGGCCGATCTCTTAGCATTGGTGAACGAAAACAGTCGTCGGACATTACCCCTCCTTGATCCACTGGTATTGTTAACTCTACCATTCACTCCGTTGGCTAGGAAACCATCGCTTCCAGCGACGCTCCTCGTTCTCGAAGCTGCCAAGGGTGTCGTACCATTTGGAGTCTGACCCGCCCTGGGCATGTTCCCATTAGCCAGGTCCATGAGTACCGCCTCTGAGTAGCTAGGTACGACATGACGATTGCCTCGTATCATAGACTCTAAGCTGTTGCTGCTTCCAACGTTGTTTACCCGTGTTAGATGCATAGTCTCTCCGTTCCAGTGTTCCATGGACAGCATGCCGTTGGAGTAGTTGGTCCCAAACAGCTTCTCAATCTGGTAGTCCACCACGGCTGTTTTGTAAGACACTAGGAGCCTGTACGGCCAGGAGAGCAGAATGAAAGACATGGCCCAAAAGACGGACATGGAAAAATACCAAGGAAGCTTATCTGATGAGTAGGCATAGGATATCATGTCGTCGGTGAACTCAACGTCCGTCAGTGTCAGACCCTCTCGGGTCTCCATGTTCTCGTCTCGGCCGTCGCTCTCCCCGAAGAACCGCGCCCTCTGCGACAGGTAGTCGTACTCAGACTCCTCATTCAGGAACATGAAGTTCTTGCTGAAGCTGACTCGGGTGATGGGGAACTCCTCCAGGTCCATGAGATGCTTGGAGACATCCTTGACGCCGCACTCGGTGAAATCAAACGCACTGGCCGCGGAATGCGTGTTGATCCTCTCGAAGTATTCCTGGGTGGTGGTGTAGGTATCCCCGTGACGATATCGGGTAACCTGTCGGGTGTGTCTGTTGTAGTGGTACGAAATCGCCCTCCACCACACCACAGGGTAAGACTCCCGTATCCTGCGGACTCGGTCGTACACCGTCCGGGTGTCTTCCTTGTAGTAGATCTCGATACGTATCTCGCTGTACCAGCACTCCAGGAGGTAGACAAGATAGAGCAGAACCAAGAAGGCAACGGGGATGTACATGTAGCCATCCTCGCACGGGCTGTCTTGCATAGGGACTGGGCTGCCACGGTAGGTATAGGCTATCACTTCCACAGTGGTCAATTCACACCAGAGAATGACCGTCAGGCTGCCGTACATCAGCATGGAGAGAATCAGGCATTTCCAGTGGGTCTCGTCTCGAAGCGTCGTACAAAAGGACCGCTGGATGGGTCGTTGCTGTAAAGACAAGAAAGGGAGAAATTGTCAAGAAACAATCAAACAAGATTGATTGAAGCTTGCTTGAGGGCTTTGTACTTCCTCATCCGTAGACGCAGCAGAATTAGAAAAAAAGGAAAATGAAAGAGAAAAAAAAAACATTTTAACGCTGTTACGAGTTTTAACACTATACGAGTTTTGTTTACATTTTCCTACGAAAATGACCAAAAACAGAACTCCTCAAATAATACTGCAAAAACATCGTCCAACCTGTGAAATTTGTCGAGTCAACAAAGCGATGGAAGAAATAAGATTGTTTATGTCCGTTCGCAATGTGTTCAACTCGCTAGTCAGAGAGGGCTGTTGTTCGCTTTCGTTCGCCATCGCTCCTCCGCTCGGTCTGGCTAGACAAAGCCGCCGCTATCTTATTGTAGAGTGGTACAGGTGAGCTGTCAGTGGAGATGTGTCTAATTCTCCACTGGCAACGCACGCAGGCAGACCTGCCAAATCCTCTTTACCCAATCTCCGTAAACCATCTTCGGAAGAGGATGAAAACAGAAATACCGCCAACACATGTCACGTCAGGATTACGACCAGAAAGCGAGAAATATTAAAAGCTTGTGTAAAGTACCCTGAGCCAGTTTCATCTCATTAGCATGATCGAGGGCCGAACATGACGTGGACACTTACCGTGCAGGCCTGTCGATATTAACGCTATTATTTTGACAAAAGCAAGCTTTAATTTCGTTTTGGGGGCGACCGGTGCGACGCGCGAGAAGCAGCTGGTTCATTGCGGGGACTTCCAAATTGGCTGGCTCTACCGTGCGCATGCTCAGCGGAGTTGCTTATTTACATAGAGAGTGCCGGGTGTGTGGCGGGGTAGTGTTGCTGCCACACAATCGCCGTTGCTAATTTCATGAGAGACTGTCACTTTGTCTCTGTCTAAACATGCACTTGCCCCCAAGCCATTTCCAGCATTTACGTGCAGGGAATTCACCTGTAAAGGCTAATCTTATTTGCACAGGTAAAACTTGAAAAAGGGGGCTTTTTCTAAAGAACGATTCACAACCAGGTTTTTGCATGCTTATACTTTATAGATTCAAACAGTACAAACAGTGTTGTCCCTTACAGATTGCCGGCAAGAAGATTACAGTGTTGCCAAATTCCAGACAAAAGCCTGGATCTACTACATGAAGAAACTCAAAATATTTAGTGCAAGAAATACAACTTTTCAATTTTCTCGGCTAAACCCAAAGTTAACGAGATACACATTCGATATAAAAGCGAAACATGCCGAAGATGGAACTCGTCAAAAATATATTCCAAATCGCACCGATCTCACGTTTCACGGGTTTCTCGCAATCTCCAGCCCACTCATCCACAAATTAATGTTCTGTTTGATTCTCCCCCGTGTAACCGAAGATCGGGAGGAGAAACGAAAGAAAGAAGAAACGCGCGAGAATATTTCTACTTAACGGCCGGGCAATTTAGCGTGATTGCAAGCAGTAAGACGAGAGAGCGGGGCACCGCAGATTTCCACCAGTTGATTGATACCCGTTTTATTGTCATTACGATGCCGCGACCCGTCGCCTCTGCTACGAGCGTCTCTGCTATGCTGTGTCGCGATGGTTAACAAATGAATGCGCGTTGATTGATCGGGCGGGGGAACCGCACGTCTTATTTATGTGCAGGGATCTAGAAAAAAACGACGGAGACTTTGTGTATAGTCAGAGTTCCGCTGGATCAAAATGAAGAATCCGAGATTCAGATGGATTTGTGGGTTTCCTTCTCTGATGGAGCGACCGGAGCGAGCGCACGGGTTGCGGGGGCTGGGTTCATGTTTATAAAATGTGTAAACAGGTTTGTTTAAAGCTGTTTCGTGCGTTCTTGACGGTCAAAACAAAATTGTCCCGACGAAGAAAACTTGATGGCAATCTGCTATTCAGCATTCAGTACATTCTCAGATTGCAAACGAAAATACAGTAGATTGATACCGGAGTCTTATACAGCGCACGTATCTACTAACAATTAGGTACTCAAGGCACTGGAAATTATAAGATCTATGTTTGCATTGGTAAAAGAGCATTGGTCAAAATAATAAGCATTTCCAAGTAAGGGCAATACTAACTATGACTTAAATCCAAGGCGTCCAACCAAAATTACCCTAATTCATAACCCACAGCCATTTTTCGTTATTTTAAACCTAAACAGTTGCAATTGCCATAAAATATGGATCAAATAATGTACATCTCAACAATTTTCTTTGAACGGTAATGTTATCCAACGCCCAAATGTTCCATTGGGCAACTCAACCATCAAGACCTTTCATTTGTTTCAATCAGTCGCTGTGCCAGCTGACGCGACTGTGAGTGGAGATGAATCCTCTGATATGAAAAGGCTTATCCGGCTCATCCCGCTGTACACCAATATAGCAAATCCTGCCTAATCCTTATATAAGGTTTCATCCTCATTCCTGGGAATTCGTCACGGATAGGAGGATAGGAAGAGGGGTTTGCTCCTACGACGAAAGTCGTGCTTAAAGGGGAATTACGGCCAGAAATCCCCGTAAATTCCATGTTTTAGATTGTTTTCTTACACTATTTTGAAGGTCTAGTTGAAGGAGACTAACCTAATGTCAACCTAAACCGATTGTTTACATCGGACGCGATGGAGAACACACACGTATTTCTGTTGTTTTCATTCAATGTACGAAACACGGTGTGTGTCACATAAATTATACGCAGCGCCAATACACAAATGTTGTTTCTTACACGTCCGCAGAAAGCGACCATTTTCGGAGACAAAATACCCCGAAATTCGTTCTCGCAAGAATAACACAAAAACGCCCTGTTTTTAAAGGATGGTTGTGTGGAGGTTTATATTCCAGTTATAAAATGCTCTTTCCATTTAATATCATTGCGTTTAAAACGCGTTTTTGTAGCCCAACTGGGCGCATTCCCGAGACCGTAAAGCCCCGTTAAGTCTCGGTATAATCTGCTTTACCGTATAGTGTGATTACTCATCTTGAAGGTAGTTTTTGCAGCTGTTTTGAAATTATTGGAGCAAAACCAATCCATGTCATAGTCAAAACAGGATTTAACTGGAAGGAAAGCTGAGATAAATTCACCATCTCATTATGATACAAAACTTGATGAAAATTTTTTAAACAGAATTTCCCTCAAAATAATATAGGTGAACTATCACAAAGTGGTGTCTGCATCACCACGAACACAATTAAACATGCACCAACAAAATCACAGAGTATTTTTTTCGGACTGATCGAACTGACCATGACCAAACCATTTAAAAATTGTGAGTTAAAGTGGCACAACGCGGTTAAACAGAAACACAATGTACATGTATACTGCATACCGTTACATTGCACGCGTGGTAAACACGCCAGGCCGTCACACCCCTGTCAGATTCCGTGCCGATAATGGATCAAGCCGAAGGCGAGGTCCATTATCGGCGACAAAGCCACCGACATGTTTTCGGTTGAACTAGTTTAAAACCCTTGAGTTCTCGGCAAGATTCGATCATTCAAAAAACCACCACTTCACTATGGACGTACCGCGTTGTGCAGAAAGTTGTACTGACAAATAAGACTGATTTTAAATTTCTTAAACCTGTTTGTGGTTACGTCTTTGTCCTTGGTTGCAGGCAAAATTTAAAGGTAGGCAGAAACTTTGAAAAATACCAGGAATTGAGACTTAGATTTAATGAGAAAAACTTTGCTCAAAGTGAAGATATATGACTTGTACCACGGAAAACAATAGTTACTGGTGGTTTTAAAAAAAAGATGCCCGTGGGCACACAGTTTTTAGAATTAATTTGAAAATATCCATTAAATACTGCGAGAAGTACCCATCCACTTGGATCTCAACATCATAAACACAAACTGGCTGAATGAGAATTATGTCCCGATTAAACAGCATCTTTTGGATTGGAAGAGCTATAGCTAGCAACGGGGTCCACTTAAATACAACACCAAAAAATCATGCTTTATAGGTTCCCCGTTTTCTCAAGATGTTTAGCATCCACTGAGCTGAAACCTCAACAGGTTTAGCTGCCGTGCACCCTACTTAAGATTTTGAGCACTGAAACGCAAATGATCCTATGATCTTTAAAATTTACCGTCCATTTCTAGGAAAACAAATTTGACTTCAAGTTCAGTGCACATGAAATAAAACCACAAGGAATGCGCCTGGTATCGATCGGGCACCTCATTACTATTGTCAGCTGTCTGTTCTGAGTCATGATGACGTCACCAGTGCCTAAGGCGCCCTTTGTAATAACCACGCGGCCTGTGCAGTGTGCATATAGACTGAGGGCTGATTACAAAATGGCTCCAGCATGTGCAGTTCTTCTGTTATTTGTCAATTTATCATAATATTTACTCCGGAGTGCGGCAGGCAATCTCGCGGGATCTCCACCCTAAACTGCTGCGTTTGTCTCCCCTCCAAATTAACACAACAGCCGCTTGCAGTTTGAACGACTGCTCTATCCGGGGGAGCTCCTTTGCAAATGTCAAAACCTGGATTTTTTTCAACAGCCTTAATAATTATTGTTAGCTGTTGCAATTTTTCTCATGACTGAATTACAAACATTTACAAAGACATAAATAAAGAAAGTAGATCTATATAGGCTACACTTATTGTCATTCGAGAAAGCATCAAGAAAAGGAATGCAACGCTCGACAGTCATTTGTGCTTATACCTATTTGTTTGAATTTAGTTATAGTGCGGAGTAGTATTTTCCCCATAGGGCTTTGTTTCCATCGATTATGATTAATAATTCAAAGCAACAAAAATATAACACAATAACAGTCATAATCCTTATAAATCTAGGTAAAATACATGAAAATATAAAAGCTGTGCAAATATATATACTGAACTACAGCATGCAAGGGCGGATCCGGGGGGGGGGGGCAAAGGGGGCCATCCCCCCCCCCAAAAAAAAACGAAACCAATTTTTTTTTGTTTATGTGACATCGCAATAAAGGCAGGCAATGAGTACACCACCATCTTTTCCTCCAAAAAAACATTGGTTAAAGCATGGAGCTATAATAGCTCCATGGTTAAAGTGGTCAGAAATTGCCTCAGATCGCACCACAGAGCATCTAGAATCCAAAAAAAATTCGGGGCCCTTAAGCGGGCCCCGAACCCCACGCCGTAATTTTTTTAACCCATTTTTTGGGGGACCAAATTTTTTGGGGGACCCCCGAAAAATTGTGTTCTGGATCCGCCCTTGACAGCATGTCGTTAATTTTGCGATATTTTGTAAAAGCAATACATGTAAAACGATTCTCAACATCCGTTACCCGGATTCGAATGACTACCCGATTCCAGATCCAATACTGCATGATGCGATGATTGCTTTAGTTCTGCTTTTGTCCTCTGCGAAACTGAATAGTTTGTTTTGTTCTGTGGGATTTTGCCTTTTTTCATCGATGAATAATAATAGCTCCATGCACGGAATTGTCATCTCGACAAAAGCGCAGTTGCACTTGCAAAACAAGGACTCAGTGGCGCCGTTA